CCTCCCCCCACGTGGGCCTGAACCCCCAAGTGCTGGCAGCTTCCTTTCCCCTTTGTGGGGCTGAAGTCCTGAGCGCCAGGGGCTCCCCCCTCCCACTGTGGGGCTGAAGCCCCGAGAGCCAGCGGCTCCTCACTGCGCACAGGGAAAAAACAGGATAATGTGCCCATTTAAAAAAAAAATCAGGAGGAGGGCTTAAATAAAGGACTGTCCCAGTAAAAACAGGGCTGATGGTCACCCTAGCTCCGACCCCTATCCTGCTTCTGCTTCCCTGGGCAGCAGGCAGCAACCACGCGGAGGAAGAGGTCAAAGCCGGATAACAGACAGCAGATGAGTAGGCTGCGTCTAGACTGGCATGATTTTCCGGAAACGCTTTTAATGGAAAAGTTTTCCGTTAAAAGCAGTTTCGGAACAGAGCGTCTAGATTGGCACGGACGCTTTTCCACAAAAGCACTTTTTGCAGAAAAGCATCCGTGCCAATCTAGACGTGCTTTTCTGGAAAAAAGCCCCGATTGCCATTTTCGCCATCGGGGCTTTTTTGCAGAAAACAAATCTGAGCTGTCTACACTGGCCCTCTTGCGCAAAAGGACTTTAGCCCGAACGGGAGCCGCATAGTATTTCCTCAAAAAGCACTGATTTCTTACAGTAGGAAGTCAATGCTTTTGCGGAAATTCAAGCGGCCAGTGTAGACAGCTGGCAAGTTTTTCCGGAAAAGCCACTGACTTTGTCAGACTTTCCTTTTCATTTTTTTCCATTGGCAATGAGAAGCCATGGAAGGGAATAACCCTGCAAATGAGTTCTTAATCTGTTTGCCGAGAAATTTATGAATGAACTATACAAACAACAGTGAATTCTCGGGAGATTCAGTTACATACAACATTGGGCTCGGAAAGACAGCTCGTGGTCCTGAGAGATTCAGTGTGTTTTTCAAATCAGGGACAATGAGCTAAATTATATTTTTGAGACGCACATTATATATAGAGTACCTTGCAATTCATGTCATATTTGTCACAGAGAAGTAAACTTACCCTCCTTTGGATACTATCGAAAAAGCTGTGATCCTTAGTAAGAAAAATGACTTATAAAGTGTGGGTTAAAGCCTCACAGGATGAAAACTGGTGTCACTTTGGATTCCAAAAGAGCTATGCCAATTTTCATCAGTTGAGGATAGGATCGCTAGGCCCCTGAGCAATGTGGGATGTCCCCGTGTGACGTAGTGGACATTTTGTCCACTCTTGTAGTCCACTGTGTTCATTCTGGTTTTGCATTCACTGTTTGCTTTGTTATGCTTTACATGATTCTACTGTCCTGAGCTGTGAGAGAGAGAGAGAGAGAGCCTCAGTTTCCCTGGACACTGCAGCGCTATCTGCATGAGGAGGTGGAGGCTGGGTATTCTACATACGCACTGTGGAAGTATGTTCAGTCTCTCCCATCCTGAGGGAGGACCAGGTAACAGCAAACAACACCTTGGCTACGTCTAGACTGGCACGATTTTCCGCAAATGCTTTTAATGGAAAAGTTTTCCGTTAAAAGCATTTGTGGAAAAGAGCGTCTAGATTGGCACGGACACTTTTGCGCAAAAGCACTTTTTGTGGAAAAGCGTCCGTGCCAATCTAGACGCGGTTTTGCTCAAGAAAGCCCTGATCGCCATTTTTGCCATCGGGGCTTTTTTGCACAAAACAGTTCTCAGCTGTCTACACTGGCCCTCTTGTGCAAAAGCATTTGCGCAAGCGGGCTTTTTCCCGAACGGGAGAGTCACTGTATCTACAGAAGAACACTGACAATCTTACATGAGATCGTCAGTGTTCTTGCGCAAATTCAAAGCGGCCAGTGTAGACAGCTGGCAAGTTTTTCCTCAAAAGCGGCCGCTTTTACGGAAAAACTTGCCAGTCTAGACGCAGCCCTTGGGCCTGGAAGCAGGACAAAGCAGGAGGCAGGGCTGTCTGGGAGCAGTGGCTGTGAGTGGGAATTAGTTTTTCGGCTGGCTGGAGGACAAGGAGCCTCGCTGGCGTGGGGGGGCTGGATAGGGGCCCGGAGCTGGGATTCTGGGCCCCCCTTTCCCCAAGATGGATTGTGCTGATTACTCCTGGCTCCTGTAACAAGAAGTCTGAGCTACGCTGTATCCCTGTCAACGACTAAACATTCTGTTCTACTTGCTAGCTGAGTCTCACAGGTGACTGTGGCTGGGGGTGCAGAGCCCAGTGACTCCCCCACACTCTGTGACACCCCGGCCCTGCGCTCCAGGAAGGGGTGGGGCCTCATGCAGATAGGGCGGGGCCGTGGCAGCCTGCCCTCAGCGGGCACCCCCCTGCCCACCCTCAGACCCTCCAGAGCATTGAAGCATGCCATGAGGTGCTCTGGCAGTGAGTCGAAAGAGTCTGGGGCTCCAGCTGCCACCTCTGCTGCAGCAGCAGTGGCTGGGAGCCCGGAGCCCTTTAAAATCACTGAACCCTGGGGCAATTTTGCTCCCTTTTCCCTCCCCTTCGGCAGGCCTGGTTCAGGTTACAGCTATAGATGTGTCACATTAACACAGCATTTTGCCAAGAAGCTCCTATGCGGATTGCTCAATAAACCATCAAAATCAAGTCTCAGAGGGGTAGCTGTGCTATTCTGTGTCTGCAAAGAGAATGAGGAGTGATCGTCTTTAAGGAGCCACAGGACTCTGTTGTTTTGATCCAAACCAAGTCATGGAGGACAGTGCTTCTCATCATGCGGTCTGTGGATCGGCGCTGATTCCCGTGGTCTCTCTGACAGGATGTAGGAAAGAAGCAAGCAGGTCTCTAGTATCGAAAAGGTTGAGAACCACTGATCAATGGGATTTTGGTAGTTTTTGTGCTTTAATTATAGATTGGGCTGAAAATAAATAAAAATAAATACTCAACTTCACAAGTGACAGACATTCTTAAAAAACCACACACAGACACATCGGTCATTTCCCCCTTTGGATCAGTATTTCCATTTATTCCAACTGGAAAAAACATTTGTTGTTTTAATACTTAGTCTTGTCTCTCTTTTTGTAAAAAATAAATCATCACCACATTCTCCTTAAAAACAACACAAGTTTCCTATTGGCTATGGTATGCAGACATCCAGCTTGAAGATTTCCCGCATTCACTGCTTTTGACAGGTGATAGTTTGTTCCCAGTTAGAAAACATGTTAAGTGAGGTCCTGATCTTGAAATGGGTCACTCCAGTTTGTCTATCCCATAGCCGCGGCTCTCATTGGCTCCGGTTCACCATTTCCAGCCAAAGGGAGCTGCAGCTTTTTTTCTTTTCTGTAAGATTTTTTTCCCATGGTTCCCCTTGTCTGGAAACAGAGAACCACTGCCAGTGCGAGCGGCGAGGCTCCACGTGTATGGAGACTTTCCAGTAACAAACCAGAGTGGCCCGTTAGCAGCTTTTCCAAAGTGAGCTCACGGCCTACTTTGAGAAACACTGATCTAACTGCAGGAATGGGTCAGGCACGTACAGATCAACCTAACTATGCAGGGAGGTGCTTTTGTAAACCCCTCTCTAACTCCCATTGACTTCTAGTGGTGCCTCACCTACTTAGGAGCTTTTGAAAAATCCCACTAACAGCTTTGCGACATCTTTAGGCACCTACATACCTTTGTGCCTCTGCACCTTCTGCTACTTGCAAGTATGCGAATTGTAGCATCAACGTCAATGGGAGATTGGTGGAGACCCTGAGTCCTCCACAATCAGAACCAAAGCTGTTGTGACTAGCAACAACTGCCTGGCCTGCTAGGAACACATGAAAGAAACTGTGTCCATATTACAACCCTACAGAAAATCTGCCCATCTGGGACTAGGATGGGACACTCCTTGATGTCAGGACCTCAAAGCAAACATTGAAAAACTCACACCCACCATAGCACAAGACATTTGAGTCCTATTTATATAACACTCTGCTATGCTGAGGAATTTGTCGATTCATTCTAACTCCAAAGAATGGACTCAACCCCATCCTGGGACTACACACTCCAAACCCCTATTGACCTTCAAAGGAGCTGGGTGGAGAGAGGTCATAGCTCCAGGGTGGAATTCAGCCCAATGGGATTAGTCTGTATTCATTTTATAGGGAGCTATGGAGTAGGCAGTGTTGAAGATTCCTTTTGGGAATGAACAGCAGTTCACATAATCCAGGAAACTAGTGCACCAGAAGACAAATCTCTACTCAAAACAACGTCATGCTGACATCACACAATTGCACCATTTACACTTTTATGTACTCCAAAGAACACCTCAAAGTTTAGTAACATCAGCATTCTCTACAGAGATGGAAAAGTCAACTTTGGTTGTGAAAACCTAGCAGACATTTGGTAGTGTGTTCTATTTGACAAAAACGTCACTTTTGCAATTGTAAAGACTCCAGGATTGGACTGAAAGAGTAACTGCAAATCGAAAGTGGGAGGAGACTCCATAACACCAGCTAGGCCTCTAAGATTGAACAAAGCATAAAATGTTCTTTTTGATTTACCAGGAATGAAAAGACTGAACACCCTCCTCACCCAAGATTTCACAGATATACTTAATACGTTTGATGGCAAATCGAGCAGGGATTCTGAAGTACCATTTATTTAGCTCTGGCTGAAAACAATTATGAACATGCATGCAGTTTCCCAGTGACTCCTAAGATATAGAAATTCCTCTGATATTACAAAATACAAAAATATTTTCTCCAAACTCTCATTTACATTGCATTTACAACAATCATGGAAATAACTTAGACTCCAGCACGGACTGAGAGACAAATTACTTACCAAAATGAGGAATAAAAACCAAACGCATTAGGAGAACACAAGCTAGTCGCAAACTGTTGATTATAGTAATCCATGGTAACTAAAACATATGGACAAGCTGGATTAAAGAAGTGGCAGTATTTGGGAAGAAGAAGAAAAATACTAGGTAAATATTACAGGCTAATGTGAACTGTTTTTCTCCAAAGTAAAATGTGCAAAATATATTCACTGTGCCAATGATTATGACTACTTATAGAAGCCAAACTACTACCTTCTTACAAATCCCCAGTTTTCAGGTCTGTTTGTTACAATAAAAAGCGCTTATAAGATCTAAAACAGTGCAAGTTTATGAGTTAATTTACATTCTCAGATAGTGCCCAGGAGGTGAGACTGTTATGATATGATACAGTTTTTGCTCTTCTGTCTTTTTCGGCTATGCAACTGTCCTCTGCCACTCAATGTTGAAGACTTGGGCATGCCATACGATCCATATTTGTGCAGGAGCTCCTCGCTGGTGACATATCGGAGACGGGCAGGTTGCGGTATTGGCTCCCCAAGGAAATAACCTTCGTTGTCAGATTCTGAAGACGAGGAGCAGGTAGAACACCAGTCATATTCAGCAAAATAGGGCCCCCATCTCTCCCCCAAATGGTTCTGCAAAGCAAGATCTGACACAGTCCTTGGGCACTGAGTATACAGGTCTCTGCGGGAGCCTTGTTCCATCGTCTCTCTGCAGCTTCTCTGGTGCATGAATTGGTCATAGTCCTCCCTGGCTCGCAGTGAGGGCCTCTCTTTCAATCGACAGCACTGTTCGCTGGCCAGATGGAGGGCGTTATCTGAGCGGGAGCGCCTGGACCGCCGGGGTCTGTGTGGGCGGTAACGCCGATCGTCCTCCCGGAAATTAGTTCGCCTGCGTGTGCGCTCGCTCATGGGGGGAAGTCTAGCACTGTCCTGTCCAGGAATTTTGTTCCCTGGAATCCCACTGCCATAGTCAAAACTCTGATGCATCCTTCCATGCAGTGGCATCTCTCTGTAACTGATGGGGTTGCGCAAGTTCGGCTCCATCTCTTGGTACTGTTGTGCAGACAAGAGGCTCCGGACCGACTCGGCGCTTCTAAACTGCACAGAGGAGTTCAGAGTCCCCATGTTACTCATCTTCTCCGAGACATTCATTCCAGAATCTTTGCTCAGATCAGGCATTGAGAACCTAGAGAGATGCTCCTGGCGCTTGGCACCTCCCTCCGCAGAGAGTCCTGGAGGAGAGGAGGAGAAAAAAAAAAGACACTTAACACGAGTTTTCCATCGCGGCAGCACAATGCAAGACGCTGCTTTTAGCTTGGCAAAACTGATCCCAATTTTCAAAAGCGACTAAAGCCCAGAGCGTTAAAAAGTATTGGAGTTACGTCTAAAGGTCTGGACAGAGTGATTTGAGGTGCCTTATTCGAGACCCCCAAAGGAGGCAAGATTTTCAGACCATTTCTGAGCACCTCTACTTTGGTAATCAGGGCTGCTTTAAAGTGGTGAAAATTGCTTTCCCCCTCCCCCAAAAATACAGAGGGTTCCCAAAATCACTAGTTGCTTTTCAAAACCTGGACCCAGTCTCCCCTCATATTTCTATTAGGACATGATGGAAATGTTGTGAGAACAACCATGTCTGGGAACATTCATGCTTCTGTAGCAGCATTAGGCCTTCTGTCCTCTGATGGCCCAGTGAACTAACTAGTGACATGATCCAACGCCATCCAGACGTTAATATTTAGCCACTAGACGGAGACATGGCGACATATTTTTGAGTAGACCCATTTGCCATGCTGTAGAGCAGTGGTGGGCAATAATTTTTGCCCAGGGGTCACTTCAAAGGAGTTTGAAGTCGCCCCAGGCCACCCCAGAAGGGGCGGGGCCAAAACAGGAAGGGGTGGGGCAATCATGGTTTGAGGGTGGGATGTGCCTTTGGAAGTGGGCGGAGACTTCCAGCACTTCCCCTCCCCGCAGGCCAATCAGGGCCTGGAGGCGGGGGAGCGCGGGAAGCCTCCTCCTGCCCTGCAAGGAGCACATGGCACATTGAAATGCTGCCAGCTCCTTGCAGGGCCGGGGCAGGACGAAGGAAGCTTCATGTAGCTCCCCTGCCCCCAGGCCCTGATTGGCCTGGGGGCGAGGGTGCGCACGAAGCCTCCTCCGCTCTCCCCCCTGCCCTTCAAGCAGCGTGCAGGGCTTCAAAGCGACATGTGTTCTTGGCAGAGCGGAAGGAGGCTTCCCTAGTCCCCCCACCCCCATGCCAATTAAGGCCTGAGGGCGGGGGAGTGCGCAAAGCCTTCTCCACTCTGCACCTGTCGTACACTGCTTGCAGGGCGGGGTCAGAGCAAGGAAGGCTTCAGGGGCTTCCCCGCCCTGAGACCCTACTTGGCCTGGGGGCGGGGGAGCAACAGGGCCTCCGCGGGCCGGATTCACCCGCTTGGCAGGCCAGATCCAGCCCATGGAGGCCCTTTTGCCCACCCCTGCTGTAGCGGAACCTGGTGACACAGAGGTGATTTGCAAGGCCAGAGTAACGTAATGTTCCGTCACAAAGCCAGGCCACCAGATTGTCGCAGTGGCAGAAGCCAGATGCTGCTCCTAAAGCCCAGGCCTCCACTATGAGAGCTCACAAAGACTCTCCATTAGCTATTAGCAATATAGGGGCTATGTGACATCAGTATAAGTATGTGACCCAAAGAGGAGCAATTCTGTCATCCAGAAGAGGGCAGCAGTGTAAACAGACACTAGCCACTTTACAACAGTGGTGCATCTTGTTCCCCACATGTGGGAGTAGAAAGAGGAAACAGTTGCTTCCATGATACTGGATTCCTACCCATTTTGGACCCTGGTCAGGCTGAGGGGTACATGGAACCACGCACATATCATCCTCCCTTCAGATCCACGGAAATCCCCCAATACAGTGATGGGATCCTGCATAGCGGTGCTTCATTGTCCCCAAAGGGAGCCAGGCTGTTACACACGAGCCAAGCTTCCAGTGCAGGATGATCCTAGCATCCTACTGATCCCTGGGGAACTGCCTAATAAAGGGATGGGGAGGGGGATCCTCGTGCAGATTTTCTGTCCCAGAGCCTCCTCCTGTAAGATGGAGGATCCAGGCTTCCATCAGTAGAGAGACGTTCAGAACGGCATCTGGATAGGAATTCAATAGCTCTCTGCAGCAGCAAGAGAGGGATTGTTACATGAGCACAAGTCAGCTCAAGAGTCTCTTTGGAAAGGGAACTAGAATATAGGCCACCTCTCCAAGCTCTGTTCTCCCCGTCGGAGAGGCCTGGATGATCCGCACATCGGTTTGGTAAGAGGCTCTGTCAAATGCTCAGCTTGCATCCTCTAGATGCCACATTTCAAAACCTAGTTTAGCAGAACTATCGTTTATTCCAAATCAAATGCCGTTTACTTCAAATGTTTTTCTTGTCATTTTTTGATAACCTTTCTGTGCAACCCATTTGGTGAGGTCTCTGTCCCACTGGTATGATCTAAAGGCTGGTGCATGCCCCTGGTGCAGTCACTGAGACATTCTGATTTTGTAAACTGGGATAAAAGTCACAAATAAACTGCTCTGTTTTTCTTAATAAAACTTTCCATTAAGTTAATCTGCGGCATGACTTCTTTGGCACAAGCCATTGTCTGGCAAACTTCATTTTATGAAGGCCAAATTCTCCTCTCAGTAACAATGGCTTAAATTTGGCTCACATCTGTAAAAATCAAGATGTTACTCTGGACTTTCTGCATAATTTGGTCCCTGAATATCAGCTGTTACTTGACAGAAATCTTCAAAGATAAACCAGGATTATCCATAGCACTCAGTAACCCTACTGCCACCAGTGCAACAGTGCCAAGTCTTGCAATTGTATAAGTTTTATGATATTGGATGTTTTTCTTCAAGCCTTAACTCCTGGAGGCATGTTATTGTGTAAGAATCTCACTTTTCATTTTAAAAGAAGTATATTTCTAGACCTAATGGTTGTAGCGAAAAGTTACAAAATGTGAACCTCTAAAGACTCAACCCCCAGAAAGCAAATAAAAGGGGTTGAATTTCTATTTTTAAGCCAGTCTCACAGCTGGGCAGTGTCCATGATTTTGGAACACTTGCAGATGGACACACTGACCACTGACTTTAATGAGGTCACCACAGCAAACTTTTGGAAAATCCCGCCCGCAGTGTCTGCTTAACAACAGTCCTGCCTTATGCTCTGTGCTGTTTTCATTTTCCTGGCAGACGCATCTCCGTGCGTGAGCACGTCTCCTGCTCCTTGTTTCCCGCTCTGTCACATCAGTCCCTTCTCCAGCCAGCAGCTTTGGGATGTCACAAAGGCAGATGTATGACTTCACATGGGGAATAATTGGTTTTTAATAACAAGGCACACCGGTGCCATTTTGCATTTATATGGTGTCAAATACGGATGTAAATGAGTAAGGGTGATGCTTACTGTGTAACGCATAACTAGTGCCCAGAAGAAGGCCCTTGCTCACAGCCTGCTCCAGCCCCCCGCCAGGCAGCAAGTGGCAGACCCATGTGGGACTGGCAAAGCCAGCAGCTCTGCATGGGGCTGCCTACTTCCAGTCCCATGTGGGGCCAGAGGCAGCCTAGCTGGAGCAGCCCTTCTGCAATGAGAGGCCACTCCAGCCTGGCTGCGACGGGTGGGGGGACTGCTCTAGACCTGCCGAACTGGAGCAGCCCCGCATCCGTCCCTCCTTTAAGCAGTTAACCAATTCAACGTCCCTACTTTCAAACACTTCAGTCTACTTCCCCAACAGCAATGGATTAAGCCTCACCGCTTCCTAAAAACCAGACATGCGAGCAAATGATTTTCCTTGCAGACACAGCAAGCCATGTCAGCTCAGAGCTTAGACGCTACATCTCTAGACTCACAGTCCCACGATGCTCTTTTCAACACAGTCCCGTTCCTTCAATTCAACATCAGTGAGAATAAAAATACTGTCTAGGGACAGTTACAGACAACATGGAAATAGATCTAAAGACGGACCCATGGGCGCTGGGGATGTTAGGTGGCAGGAGGCACTGTCTTTGCAAACCACCAGCCTGGCCCTGCCCACACTCTGCCACCAGAATGCCTGCTGTAGGTGTACTGGGGACAGTGTTGCTGCCCCCAAGTGTCCGCCCTTCCCGTGCTCCAGGGTCGGGGAGGCTGGAGCCTGCCTTCCCCGTGGTGCTGGGGGGGGGAGGGGAGGAGGCAGTGACTTGGCTCCTGTTAGGAGAGTGGGGCCTGGGAACAAGGGCTGATCCCAGCCTTACCTTCACCCACCACCCATGAGCGGACCAATACTTTTACATTATCCAGGAGGTAAAATAAGATCCTTAATCCCACCAAATGAGACAGGTGGAAAGGAAATGTACATGCCAAAGTAACACGGGGCTGTTATCATGTGAAATTCCAAAGAGATTATCTTTTAGTCCAGGGAGAGGGCGCTAGGCCCTTTCCAAAGAGAAGAGGCACAATCCCTCCCTTAAGAAGTGCTCCACCTAAATCAGTCAGACAGAGAGGTTTGTGGAAGAGAGCACAACACAGAGACAATTACATTTGTATGTGCCTTTAACCCTGTTACCCTTTTCAAAGAGGTATAAGGAGGAGTGGCCGGGTCATTATACAGTCATTGATTAAAATGAGGATAGAACTAGATCACATGATTGCCACGAGCACTAGAGGCGTGATAAGATTGCCAGTGGCAGATATAAACCGAATATCCAAACAGACCACCAGAAAAACCTGGCCAGCGATTGATTTGGTGATACTAACTCTTCAAGGAGACCATGTCTTTTGGGGCTTTGCCTTGAGAAAGGCGGTGATGTGTTTACACATTGCACAACTGGTTCAAAAGGAAAATAAACGGGCATGTGGATTCCTGGTTGGCTGCCAGGAGGTCCTACTCTTGTATACTGGCAACCCATCAACCCATGAAACTTTAGGCCAAGAATGTCACTGCAAGTAACAACAGCTGTAACAGTGAAAACAAACAGAACTGCCGAGGGAAAACACGGCTAACTGTTACTTGGCAACAGAGCATGTGAATGGCAATGCAATGCTTGCTTGTTGATGGAAAGGGACAAGAGGCGCATCGCCATAGGAACGGCAGAAAGGGGAAGACAAAGCATCAGGAGGAGGAAGAAGAGTGCTAGAGCAAAAGTTAAATGTCTGCCAACCTTGCCTCTTTGATGGGTCAAAATGAAAATCCCATTTAAAAAGTTGACCTGAGATCTTGC